CTCTTTCACATGACTCAATACTCAACTGTGCAAATACCACGCAATATATTATTATTAATCCATAGACGTTTTGACTGCTTTGTCAGTGCAGACATTCACTGAAAGGCACATGTTGCTCTGATTCCAGGCATTAAACCCATACCTTTTTTCTGATGTTCCCCACCTCTCTAGGGGACTAGCTTTCTCTTGCTTCATTGAACAGCACCAAAACCCACATGACTGCCTCACAGATAAGCCATTCGCTCTTATTTGTTTCACCATTAGGAAAAATGTTAGGGAAAATCAGAATCTGTTGCAGGCTGAGTATAGTCTCTGCACTGTCATATCAATGACCATTGCCAACATGGCAATAGTAAGACTTATACAGCCAAAGGCTATTGCAGCCTAGGTTGGGGGAAAATTTTAATACGCTCCCAATAGCAAACTTCCTCCATATTCTTCCCTAGAGCTGGCTGAGGAGACCTTCTGCTAATTGTTCAATACAGTCGATGCGAGGACTCCAATAATCGTTTTGACTATCCTCACTAACATGCCCAGAGAGAGAGAGTCACTGTCTCAGAAGAACGTGTTTATTTGACCAACGAGGTGGTTCTTGCATTTCTATGAAGAGCTGCTCAGCAAGAGCGGTATCTGTTCAGTCAAGGACACAGAAGGCTAACGGCAGCTACAATTCAGAGTGACACGTACGTAGCCACCCACATCACTCTAAAACCACTGACATGACGCAAGGCTGGCACACATACTTAGTGATGACACTGGTGGATGGCTATCTTTTTTCCTTAAAAACTTCATCAGTTTTGGGAAAACTGAAACAAACTTATGAAAGTAAGTGGGGATGACAATGGTGAGATAAGGACACAAAGAAGTGCCTTGGTACAATCCACAGACATAGTATTTGCATGGGAGAAGATTCTACCAATTCCTTCCTACAAGAGCAGATGGGAATACTTTGGAAAATGGAAACCTGAACAGGAGACCACGAGGGAATAGAAAGCAGTGAAGGGAGCTGAAGACAGATACCTAAAAGGGTTCCACAGGGCAAAGATCTCCTCTGGCACATACTCTGATGCAAAAACCTGAGCTCTAGGAACACTACAGACAGACACCACAGTGGCTGTCTGGGACAGCCTAAACCCTTAATGCAGAGCAATTACGTCCACTGGACCCACCCTACATCCTGCAAATCCACTGGAATATCTTCACACAAGCCTGCAAGGAGTTTACACAGTCACGTGGTCCAGCGGGAGCCATGATTTCAGGCTCCGTACCACAGGCAAACAGGCAAACCAATTCCAGACCTGAACTGGCCTTGAAAGCCATACAGTAAGGACATCTGAACTCAGAACTCTGGGGGACCCAGACAGGCTTTGCCTAGTACCTGCTCAGCTCAGACAATTGCTTCCTCCAGAAGCTGCGTCTACATCCAACTGTGTAATTGTTATGGGAAAAGATCTGTCTTGATGGCTATTTCTTGTCTAAATTCAAGAAGACCTAAAAAATATTGTTATTCCTGCTACACTCACTTACCACTTTGTGTTTTGGCTTTGTCATAGAAACTTCCATTTCTTCAGCACCTGAATTATCACTGGGAGAGCCAGATCTGAAATCCATCATCTCTTCCTCTTGTTTCTTGAGGCTGTCTGCTACTGTTTGGATGGCTTTTGTCCATTCTTCCCTGGCAAAATATAAGCAAAGACATTCAGTACTTGTGACTTTAGATTACCATCTGCCATGGCAAGGGTCACCAAGGAATACAAAGCAACTAATGCTCTCTGATGAATCAATGCAACATACACTGAATTATGTGCATTTTCAAGCACTGTAAAAATGCATTTTTAAGAGCGCTTTTAACATACATCTTTATTAATTGTACTAGAAACAAGACACAACTGAAGTCCTCTCAGTCTGGACACAGTACAAGGCTTTTCAGACAACAGAATTTCTAATAGGCATTCAGTCAGCAGCTCAAGATATGACCTGGTGATCCAGAGATTTACATAACAAAACCAGACTTGCCAAAACCAAAAAGCAAAAGGCTCCCATGCAGCACAAAGCAATTAAACACAGCTTCTCCATTCCTATGGTGCACTGAAAGACATATATCCAACTGCTGGGGGCACTATGCCACCTCTTCGTACACATATCCCAAATTTTAATGGCAAGGGGTGTTCTAGGAGAAGGTATTAAAGCCCAGGATACTTAGGTTATTCCTCTGTTGTAAAGACGATGACAGAAGTACAGCAATTCCTGTGTAAATTTTAGTAGAATGTCAGCAAAAGCAGTGGCATTTTATCTTAGGCACAGGTCTTGGTTACGATAAAGTTTCCACAGCTGTTTCAACAACGGGTCCTCTAATATTGACCCCTTCAGCTCCTATGGAGACCACTTCCACTCCAGTGTCCTTTGGGAAATTTCACACCTTTGGAAAATTTCACACCTTTGGAAACTACTGAAGTTCTTGGCCTTCACTTCATTTCATTGCGAATTCATTGAACATAAAGCATACAACTCGTAAGGGCTTACAGGGTTTTAGGATGGGCTTTAAGGCATACAGGGGCTGAAGACATGTTCAGTGGACTATGTGAATTTACCATATTTTACTATCTTTTGTATCTGTAAGGAACGCGATGTAGTGGTTTAGTTGATATTTTTTGGGGATTGGCCAAACTCTTCTCCCAAGGACACCCCAGGTAAAATACTTTGCTACTACAGCAGGAACAGAAGTAGCCAATGCTGAACAACTCCATGCACAATCTGCAGTGAAGCCATGCCATCCTAATCAATGTCAAGTTTTTCACTGGTTCTATGAAATTACTAAAAAAATAATTAAAAAAATCATATCTGAACATGTGAATTTCAGTTTGTGATGGATGGAAGAGGCAGATCATTCCCCAGAGGAAGCAAAGTCCATGGGAGAAAGCACCCAACACAAGATTCTAATAAAAACTGCACCAATTACACATAAGGTCTTTCCCACCCTGTGCATTTTTTATTTTGGATTTTGTCTGAATGCGCACTATCCAGCCCTGTCTGGGGCAGCAAGGTAATGCTAAACATCCGGAACATTCTCCCTATAGTCCCAGCACAGGCTACTTCATTCACCATCACAAACGCATTCCTGTATTTACTACTCATTTTTCATATTCAGTACTATTACAAAAAGAACTTTTTCTTCTGTATTTTTATCTCTCCATCTCTCTCAAAAGACAAACGTTGGTTTTAAAGGCATAGGGAAAGCTAAAGGCATATCTACCTTGACATCTCTTTTAAGATTTGTTACTGACTTGGTTGAGATCTCGGCCCTCCTGAAGAGAATATCTTTGATTTCTGGGAAACCAGAAATTTCACCCTCAGCTTTTATGTCTCAAGCGTACACAACAGAGGTGACTAACACTCCGAGTCCTGAAGGGTCACAAAGCTGACTTAACTGGCTAGAAGGAACAAAACAAGACTGAAATATAATCTTCCCCCAAGTGGAAACTGTTATTCACTCCCTTTAGGGTCACTGACCACAGAGCTACTAAAAGAAACAAGGACCAGTTTATTTTTCTTTGCTTTTAATTTGATTTTCACCTTCTTCTGATCATTGTAATGGAATCAAAAGTAATAAACAGAAACCTTCTTTAAATCAGTGCATGCAAAGGCTACGAAAGAAAAAAGCGAAGAATATTAGGTAGAATTTGCTGATCTTAAAAATGTGCCAGTATCATAACTAGGGAGGACAAGGGTTTTAAAATACCCCTTCCCCTAGGGCAATGGTACTGGAATAATTTAAGTTCAGTTCCTGAAGAGCAAGTAAATATTTAAATACTTCGTAGTTGTACAATAGCTGTGCTGGAAAACTGTTCTCTCAGGAGGTAAGAGATCAATTCTCCAATGATGAGAGCACAGGATGCATGCTCTTAGCTTTGTTTCCTAACAGCTGAAACAGAAATCTGCACCTGCAGCAGATAACTATCACCTTCATTATCTAATTTGCATAAAACATTAGCAATCAGCAGTGATACAACTAACTTTTTTCTTTTACAACAAGGTGTCTAAGAAGAATTTAAAAGGTCAGTATTTTGAAACAACTCAACTTCACCTGAATTTGTTTCGCTTGTGCTCATCCTTCCAGAAACTCCCAAGTCAGAAACCCTTCGTTTCACATACCACAACATTTCCAGGGAGAAATGAACCCTGAGTTTCCAGAAATAACTACCTGTGTGCTGGCAGACACCTGCACCTGTCCATTTTGGATAACCAACATAGCAACACTTCATTTACAAATACTACCCAAAATCCACTCTCTGAAACCCCCTTTAAGGTATCTTTTACACTGGAACGCGCACTAAAACTGAGGCGCTCAAAAATTATTTGTCGCTTTTCAGTCTAGACGTACATCATCTGATAAGTAAGAGCTTCAGCAAAGGACTTGCTATTAATGCTGAACACTTGCATCTGCTTTTGCAAGTAGTTTATGTATTAAATATGAGTGAAACATACCGCTCCTCTGGAGTCTCCACATGAAATGTTCTTTCAATTACTGTGGTCCACTGGAGGCATCTAATGATAAATGTGTTTGGTTTAGGTCGTTCTGTCTTCATCAGCTGGCACTCTACCACAATCAAGGAAGAAAGAGTCATGGTACATAAGCAGGTTTAAATAATCATTTGTCTTTATTCTTATCTAGCAAACTGTTGCAATTAATCAGCCACAGAAATCTCTGTAAGTACTTCTTTAGGAGACTTGAGACAATTTACTGTGTTGATGAAACCAATAAATAGCTTGGGAGATAGTCATCTAAGCAGCACCAAAATCAAATTCTGCTTAGACAGGCTCCGCATTTGGTCTGCCTATAGAGCTAAGTAGAAATGTGATGTGATGACACAGAAGCCATTCAGGCTTGGGTCCTACACTCCAAAGGTCATCCAGAGCAGAGCACACGGACAAAGTCAGCTGATAATGCAGCAATTACATCCACTGAAATTAAAGCCAAGCCCCCACGTTCCCTCCCTTTGACTTTCCCGACACAAAACCCTGTCCTTGGCTTTCAAGAAGTTGCTAGAGAGCGTGTCTGGTCATTTTGCAGCGATCTGAAGATTAGACTCAGCATTTCCAGTCCTCAAACACTAGAGGGAACATCAAACTGCAGAGGCACCCCCAGAAAAGACCCCTTTCAAAACGCCTTTGGGACAGCTGCCGCAGAGTCGGATGCTGTACGGACACGCAGCTAACAGCTTCCATCGCTGCCAATGTTTAAGCACAACCTAAAAAGGCTACAGAAGTACAGCTACACGCAAAACCACCACTTCCTTCATAAAAATGCCCTCTCCAGAGCTGAGCATTTTTTTTTTTTAAATCACACCTACTATTTTAAGCTTCATAGGATGCTATGAGTGTTTATCCTTCACATTTGGGCCTGAAAATGCACCTAATTGAGGGTACGCTAGCTATACTAAAAGAGAGGCTCTGAAAAACAAAAGAAAATCAATGAAATAACAACAGAAGCCAAAACATGACATTTTTCAGATTTATATTAATAGAAAATCTAATGCTAATTAAACAGCTCTTGTTAAAGGAAAGTCAAATTAAGAAGGGGGGTGAGGGGGATAATTGAGGTGTTTTTTTTCTTACATTAAACTCTTTTCCTTGCAGTTAATGAAACCACGAGCTTGCTATTATTCAGTTTTCAGGTTCTAAATCAACTTCCAAGTAAATAAAAAGGCACTATGAAGACAAGACGACAATTCTGCTTACTGTTGGAGCTATGAGCATCCTCCACCACCAGCAATGCGCAAGTTGAGGACAGAATCTGGCCAGAGTAACAGTGCACATTACTAAGGCTGCACCGGTATCATTAGGGTAATTTTATTATTGTGAAAATTTAGAGTGCTCAGTTTTAAATTCAAGCTCTTAATTAGCACCAAGATGAAATATTTACTGCCAGTGTTTTTGGACGCCGTATTTTTGGCAATATATTTCATGCCCCATTTGCTACTGGAATTATAAGCTTTTCAATGAGTAACTTTGCATTTTTCATGACAAGAAAATCTAATTTTTCTTTAATAGCACACTGAGGTTATACTGCATCCTACTAAAGCACTGCAATTAGATAAGAGAAAGTTTATTAATGAGTCATGAAAAGGTTTTAGTGTGATAAACGGCACTCCTTCATTCACCGAGATTAAAGAACTTCCACACAGCGACGCAGCCGTGCCTGCAGAGCGCCGTATTTAGCCTTCCAGCTACCTCCATCCTCTTTCACAGAATGGCAGTTAAGGCCAAACACAACTGCACGAGCTGGTGCAGCCCAGTAAGCCTGGTTCCGATAAATTCAACTCAAGAGATCTCATTCCT